AAGTATATGGAGGACAAGGAATGTATGTTCAGTATTTGCGTGCGGAACATGAAGTAAGAGAGTTTGGACAGCTTATCCTGAACAAGAGGAAGAACCATGTGTTCAAAGAAACAGATTTATGTTTGGGAGATTCTGCCATTTACTCAAGATTATTGAGCAAGTTACTTGCATTTCACTCTCAAAATCTGCCTTTCTGTGAAACTAGTTGTTTTGTGACTAAACATGACACTATTTTCTGAACTGTGCCCCTTCTGGCAGTTATTCTGTGAGAGACACTGCATTTCTTCAAAATTCCAAAGGTGGCCCATGACTCAATGAGACTAGAGATGCTTGTTCTAAACTAGATGGCTATAGGGGCTGCCAGAAAACCTGAGCAATGACTATGATAGCAAGAGCTTCAAAATCTTGTAATCCAGAAATATCTTTCATTTGGAAACCATTGCTTAAAGCTATCCCTATTACAGCATCCTCCTTTCTTCGATGCACATCTTAGCGCAGTGGTTCTTAACCTTTGTTACTCAGGTGTTTTTGAACTGCAACTCCCAGAAACCGCAGCCAGCAGAGCTGATGGTGAAGGCCGTATTAGGTGCCGTATTAAGGGGGCTTGCATGTTTTAATGAAGCTGAGAGCAATGCTGTCAAGAGGTCAAATTCCATTATGAGCCTAGACTCCTAGCAGGATCACCCAAGGTGGAATGGTGATAGCTAAGACACCAGACTTTGATGCATCCACCTCCTTCAAGGCAGCTACTGGACAACAGTAATAGCCAAAGCTGACACTCGCAGAGGAAGCAACAGCAATAATACTCCAGTTAACTTTTGTTCATACTGCACACAAGAAGACAACGGTAAATCACTGCTGATAAGTCCAAAATGAAACAAGAGATAGTCTTGGAAGAGGAGACTCCCACGTTGGAAAGCACTTAATCAGCTACCAGGGAAGAGCAAAGGACAAGTATGAACAGCTCTATCACTAATGAAGCAACCAGATTAAAGCCGAAAGGATGGCTCATGGCTAAAATACATAGAGGTGAAAGGAAAGTCTAATGTTGCACAACTCATATAGTTGGAACATGGAACATGAGAAACATGAATCAAGATGAACTGGAAACCATAAAGCAAGAAATGGAATGTATAAACATTGCAGTGTTTGGTGTCAGTTAACTAAAGTGGACTAGAACAGAATACACTCAGTCAGACAACTGCAAAGAGTTCTACTCTGGAAATGGCAACATGAGAAGAAATAGAGTGCTTCTAGTACTGAGGCAAGATGTAATCCTTTGAAGAAGAATCCTGTGATGAAGAGCCTGCAATCCTAGAAGGTGAAATGAAAAGCTGGTCTACACTTTATCTTAGACAAAAGCCGAGAAGCAAGAAAGCTGGTCTGGAAAGACATAAATCAATACAGGTAAATGCAGTACCAAGAGAAATATTCCACAGAGATTGACTCTGTCAAAATTGAAATATGTTTATTGCAAAAAAAAAAGGAAAAACAAAACAATGGTTGACAGACTGGTAACATTTAATATATATTCCAGTCCCCAAGAATCATAGAAAAGTGAAGTTGGAAGGGGCCTACAAGGCCATCAAGTCCAAACCCCTGCTCATTGCAGGAATACAATCAAAGAATATCTGCCAAGTGATTATCTAAGTTTTTCTTGAATGCCTCCAGTGTTGGAGCACTCACCAACTCCCGAGGAAACTGGTTCCACTGTCGCATTGCTCTAACAGTTAGGAAGTTTTTCCTGATCTTCAACCAAAATCTGGCTTCCTTTAACTTGAGCCCATTGTTGTGTGTCCTGCACTCTGGGATGATCAAGAACAGATTCTGCCCCTCCTCTGTATAACAGCCTTTCAAATATTTGAAATGTGCTATCATATCACCCATTGGTTTTCTTTTCTCAAGGCTAAACATGCCCAATTATTTCAGCCTTTACTCATAAGGCTTGGTTTCCAGCCCCCTGGAAAGAAGAAAGAAGATGTCAAGGAAGAAAGGAGATGTCAAGGAGTGCAGTAGCTACAGTGGTGCCTCGCTTAACAAGCGCACCGTTTAACGACGAATCCGCATAGCGACGCTTTTTTGCGATCGCTAATGTGATCGCATTGCGACGTTTTGAATGGTAAAACATCGCATTGCAATGTTCTAAAAACAGCTGATCGGCAGTTCCAAAATGGCCGCCTGAAGAAAAAATGGCCGCCCGCTCCGTTTTCGCGCCCTGCCCTCGCTTACCGGGTGGCGAAAATGGCGGCCGGATGGGGGAATCTTCACATAGCGGTGAGTTTTCGCCCCATAGGAACGCATTAAACGGAGTTTAATGCGTTCCTATGGGTTCCCCCCCGCATAGCGACGAATCCGATTAGCGACATTAATCCTGGAACGGATTAACGTCGCTATGCGGGGCACCACTGTATATGACTATTGCTCTATGTTCCTATACAAGCAAAGTGATGCTCAAGATGTTGCAACAAAGGCTTTCACCTTATAAAGCCTTTTATAAGGTTACTTTTTGGACTACAGCTTCCTGAATCACAGACTTGGAAACCTTCCTTTTTGGACTACATATATTCATAGCCTCAACGTTGTAGTACAGAAAAAAAAACTTTTCCAAGATCTGTCCTTTCCAATTACTCATTCCACATCATTTCCTACGAACAACTCAAGACTGCAATTGTTTCTCAGGTTATTAGTGAAGAATATTTGATCTCACAAGCAGGTGTCTTTATTTTCAGACAGCATTATTGGTGTCTCCAATCACTTCCAAAATAAAAAGAATATTGCCAGAAACTCCTTCCTGTCATACATTGAGAAATCGCATAAAGGGGTTCCATGGAACCTCTGCTGAGGATTACATCATCTGGTGCACACTCAGTTCATGTATCACACAGGCCAGTTCTACTGAGTACCATTATAGCTCCAAATCAACTGAAACGGGGTCCTGTAACAGTGGTCCTCAATTGTTGGTTCTCCAAATGTTTTAGACTGAAAGGCCCTTGCTAAAATGGTGAATGATCAAGGATTCAGGGAATTACATCTAGACAGTCAAAGGCTGGGGATCACTGTTGTCGAATATACTAGACACTGTCCTACCAGGAGAGATCACAGGGAAATGTCAAGTGAAGTTTCTTTTCAGAGGAACCCATCTATTTTTCTTAATCTTCTTCCCAAGAAAGCTCCCCTAAACCCCCAAAGGAGCCCAAGGCTCCTTAGAATATTTTTTTTAAGGAACAATGTTTTTGTTTCCACAAAAGAACACATGACTTGAAATAAAATTTTCATTCTTCTTTTTTTAATGTTTCATATTTGTGTTAACATGATTTTATCATACTTAATATGCTGCTTTGAGGCAGTATTTGTACTTTGAACAGTTTCTTGGGAATTTCTTATACCATACATATACTCCAATTAACAAACAGAGCTTATCAACTCTACCGTGACAAACCATCTATCATGAAAAAACGGATTTTTAAAAACCGTATCATTTTCTACTACGGTTCCAGTCATTTACTGACTTAAGCCAAAAGGCACAGGGAAATATTAAGCAGTTCTCCACCAACATCTTAACATACAGACGCCAAAAGGATATCCTTATCCAATCCAATTCAGGGCAAGGTCATACGGAGTGTTCTTTCAGCACCCGAAGGCTCTGCCAGTCTGCCGAAGAACACGGCTGGGAAGGAGTTTCTCACAGAGCAAGAGAGAAACAGAATGGCAGTGAGCCAGGAGAGAGCTTGTAGCAGAGATTAAAGACTGCATTTCTCTGCCCAGTAAAAGAACATATCCACCACGTGCTGACAGTAAGGCAGCCTCAGATTAAACCACACAAGAACACAATTCTCTGAGCAGTTTGCTTCTTTATACAACAGTTTAGCAAAGCATTTTGTTTTCAGCCAACGTATCTTGGACAAGTTGCTTTTCTTTCTTTCTTTCTTTCAGTAGGGGTAAACCATCTTAAATCTAAATGCTTCAGTTTAATACTGTCAGGGATTAGGCGACCCTTCTCCCCAAAGATGGTGGAGCTGAAAGAAAGTTTCTTCCGGCAGAACAGAAGCCTTTGATGAGAGTATAGAGAGACATTCTGAAAGCAAGAAAGGCATCCAATGCTACCCTGGAAGCCTAAAAGCAGATCTCTTTTCCATAGCAGTTTATGAGTTGGTAAAATACTGTTTATCTGATCTGACTGCAGAAGTGGCAGGCTGAGTGTCACATCACAGGGACAATATCTGAAGTCTTCAAGAACCCAAAGATTTTAACATTCCCCAAGAAGAAAACTGGTAAGCCTAGCATGTTCCTGAGGAGACATGAAAGGCTCCCCTGCTGTTCAGTAATGTCTCAAAGGAATTCAGCCTGACTTGCAAGGAGAATCGGAGCCCATTTGCCATCTTATGAAGCTGTGCAGGAGGATACACTCTATGCATATTCCAGAACAACGCCCTCCCCTCATCACACTGTATAGGAGAACCTTCCATGTTAGTTACTTCTGAAATGTCCCAGTTTAATTTCAAGTGGTTCTTACTCAGCCCTGTGCAAATGCCTTTTTTTCAAGAAGAGTTCTGATCCATTTAAGGGCAGAATGTTGAACGAGACCCTCACCCAGCCCAAAAAACTCACAGGCTGATCTTGCATCAGCTGGACTCTCACAGGGATGTTGTGATGATAAAGGGGGGAGAGGAGAGAAGTTCATACCTTAAGCTCACTGGAGGAAAGACAGAATATAAATGCAATGAATAAATGTCAATCCTCTATCCAGATAGTAAGTATTTGCCCCCTGCTAGGCTTTTTGATACTCTTTCAGTTTCATTCAACAGAAACTCACTCTGTGAAAAGTTTCAAAAAAAGTAGCAACAAAATTTTTGTCTACCAAGAAAAGTTGTTCTTTCCTTAAAGACTCTCCCAAAGCACTAAAAAATGAACTTGAGACCAAATAAAGATTTACAGTGGAATTATTCAGGAGGACACTCTTATCTTTATTTTTACATTTTGAATAAATTATAAGAAGTTACCATTCTGCAGAGTCTGTGCCCGGGATTCCTTTCCCAAGTTCACATGAAAGCCTCCAACTGTTTGAGATTTTCCTGCCGCTACAAGGAAGAAAAAAGAAAAAGCTTGTCAAATACAACAGACTAACAGAAGTGTGACAATAAAACTTGCAATGGCTTCCTTAAGTTTCACACTAACAGGCTTCAGTAGAGACAGAAATAGAGGCCCATCTTACGCTTATTAAAGATCCACCAATAGTCATCATGGAGCTCAAACTTTGTCCCCTTATGCAGCTGTACCAGACTACAGTGGTGCCTCGCTTAACGGGTGCCCTGTTTAATGACGAATCCGCATAGCGATGGCTTTTTTGCGATCGCTTTTGCAATCGCATTGCGATGTTGCCTATGGGAAAAATTTACTTTGCTATTTTTCCCCATAGCCCTTTTTCGCCCAGCTGAGCGGCTCCCGCCACTCAGCTGGGTGA